TAAATAATATTACAAAATTGTACCTAGTCTAATAGCGATAGTATTATATAATATATTACATAATAATAAAAATAGTAATTTAATTATAAACTGTCTCATCATAAATAAGTAAATAAACCATTGGTACTTTAATAATAATTTAATTAGTGCAATTTTCTATTAAGAGACTTACCAAAAATTTAATTATACGTAGTACTATGGCAATGACACTATTGACATTATTGTCAAATCGATTAACACCACGAAATCTAAAATATCTATTTTAAATATGAAAATTTCGTTCAAGTACTTTGATATTGAAATTGGAGCAAAATTCGTAGAATGCAGTTAATCACTTTAACCTGTAACCAGCATGTACAATGTATACGTGTATCGAATCCATGAAACTTGTCCTGTTTAAAATAAATTTTCTAAGTTAAATCAGGATTTCTCTTTCCCGTTGCGTAATGGATTTCAAATCACGTGTAAGTTCAATCTCGAGCAATTACCCTGGCAATTATAATCGTACCTTCCACTTTTTCGGTATCGTTGCTAATAATGGTACTGCAGGCTGGATTATGATTAATGAGAAGCAACAGAATGAATTCCTCCTGCGTTTCTTTTCTATACCGAGAAGTCTACAATAATTCACGGGACAGTGGTTCTCGGCTCACCGGATTCAATACCTCTCTACTTTCTCCAAAGCTTTCGACTAGACATTTCTTGGCAACGTGCCGATAATGCCCTCGTGCACGTCGATGGCTACGCTCTATCTTGCATATTACCCATAAATTTCCTTGCTGAATTCACTTTAACCGAGAACTTTTGGCAGCCACCCGCTAACACTGTCTCACCTTTAAATATTTCACCGCCTTGCGGAGGGATTCCAATATTATTCTAATTACATTAACGAGTCCTGCACCTAATCACAATTATCGTAATAATAATTTTAATTAATTTGCTACTTTTATTCGTATTTCATAATAAGAAATATTCCGGTGTAAAAGAAGTCGAGCACTTGAGTTGCTTAGATGTACTACCTAACCCTCTGTGATCAGAATTTTGTTTCTGTAATGAAGCACCTACGAAGCTCTAATTTATTATATAGAGTGACCCAAAATATATGCAAGTAGTAATTTTGATAAAACAAGCAAACGTTCGTTATTTTTAAAATATTTTTAAAATATTGTTCTTTCGTGTAACGCTCCGTTCTTAGCAACCCTGAACTGTTAGCTATCACGCTTTCTTTTTCTTTTTTTTCTTTTCGTTGGCAACACTTTGCCTCACAAATAGCACAAAATTCAAATTTTACGTGAATTTTGGGACACGCTATAGTTCTCCGACGTGATTCCAAAGTTGGGAAATAATAATTGTAAATGGACTGTTTGATTCTGGTATAGTAATATAGTAATGCGGAATAATAGTCCAGTGACAAATTGATAAATGGAAAATTAAGAAGTACAAAGATTTTGATATGTATAAAAGTTCAAAGTTACGTGACGGAAAATGATATGAAAGCACGAAGTATATTTGCATAAAATTTCCGTGGTTAATAAGAATGAAGATATCAAATTGATTAAAGAAGCAACGTTGAAAAATAGAAAGCAGCATCTCGTCAATCTTCTCCCTAATGATTGAAATCTTCGAATTAAGCTTTGGCTTCTTAAACCCTGTTTTTACGAAGGATGTTCCTGATTAATGACGTGCATACTAAAAACCTTAATCACCCTTGTATCCTAGAAACTGCTTTCTACTTTCTGGTTAAGTGGACTAAGAAAAAAGAGATTAAAGAGACGTCTCAATGATTGTGTTATTATGTTCGAGTAAAGTAACTAGTATCCTAATAGATCATCTTCGCAGAACAATTTGTGAAATAATCACTCTTAACGAAGAGAGAGACTATCGATTCATCGACTTTTACTTTATTAGCGAGAGATAATTAACACTTGGGAACCAGGAATTTATTTTCTCTATTTCAATAATAATTAATTAACGATCCATCTTCTAAACGAGACATTTACAATAATAAATAAAATTATGACATCCGCAGTTTCGCAATTATTTGGAAATTAACTTCTCTCCTGTATCTTTTAATTCATCGGTAAATATTGAAATTTCTAATTATATTTCCCCTTGCAAAAATGAAAGAAGAAAACAACGTTCACCGGTTACTCAATGGCGCAAAATTAATTCAGTCAATCAGCTAAACCCGTTATATCTCTTCAGCTCTCTGCATTGATCTTTAAAGGTAGAGGATTTTCTGAAAATTCCCGAATCCCGAAAATATCCAGAATTTTTGAAAGCTTTGAGAAATATCTTTGAGAAATAGCTTCGTATTCTAATTATACGTCGTGCGTGATACAATTTTTCCTGAACAAACGATACTCAGCAAAACGAATATTGACATGGCATTTCTCAAAATTTTTTGGAATCTTGTAAATTTCAGGATCCCAGATATTTTCGGAATCTTGGATATTTTCAGAATCCCAGATATTTTATATAGTAGGATACAGGATATTTTAGAGGGCCCCGGACATTCTCAGAATCCTAGATATTTTCGAAATCCCAGATATTTTCGGAAACCCGAATATTTTCAGAAATCTCGAAATTTTCTACCGAAAAATATTCTTATCCCATCCCGTCCCATCATTTCGAGTTCCCGCGCCCCGCTATTTAAAACTGTATCCCTGAAACGCGTTATTCGTCTAATTATTCATTTAACTAGGTCTAATTCGATTAATCTCATAAATTTCTGTCTAAGGTCTTAAAAGACCGAAAACAAACGACGCGGACGTAATAGAAAAACGTATGACTCGTGTACACGTTTCGATTACAGCAGCCGTGAGGCTTGATCGGTTAGAGCCGCGATCGTGTAGATCGTGAAATCAAATTTGCATGTGTGCTAGATTTGGGAGATGCAACGAGTCCAACAAGCTATTTCAGCTAATTGTCACTGTTACCGCTGTTGACCCAATCAGAGCTGCATATTCCGTCACTGGTCGACTAGAGTTTTCATTAGAATCGGTACCGACGTGGCTAACGCAGCCTTCGAGCACTCGATCACCGATGGTCATTCACGACGCAACGCCGCGTGTACCGTGAAAGTTAATCGAACGATGGCCGTATGATCGAACGAGGAGAGAATTTCGAAACAGCTGACTACTGCCATTTGTCGTAAGCGTAATCTTCGTTTTGCCATAGTCCTTCGCTGCACACAAGTATCAGGGAGTATAGAGAGATTTGTGACGATCACTGGCAATTGGATATAAAATCGGGTCGGTCGTCGATGGGTAATCTAATTAATCGTTTAGCCTACATTATTCGCGTTGGCAACACAAATGGATACGTTTGCAATTGATTTTGTGTTCGATATCGGCAACGTAGGGGAATTTTTTCGTTCGAGGCTGTGAAGAAAGTGGTTCCAAATGCAGAATTCTTAATATTTTCAAGCCATACGTGTACGACCTGGGTCACTTTCATCGCTATTGACACGTGTAACAATTTTCAGGATTCGAATTTTTCAAAATTTCGCGTCACCTGTCCCTTCAGAAGACCATCCACTGATTTACCGATCTATAAGACTATCAACAGTCCACCTACTATATCCATAGTATTATATTAAGAAGATTGTGGATGATCTTATGGCTCGGAAAATTCGTGGATGGTCTTATAGATAGATAAATTTTCCAAAACCTCACATTACCTGTCCCTTCAAATGACCATCCATGGATTTGCCGATCTGTAAAACAAACAACAATCTTATTTCTATCTACTATGTCGATAGTATTATAGTAGGAAGACTTTGTCCATCCATGGATTTGCCGATCTGTAAAACAAACAACAATCTTATTTCTATCTACTATGTCGATAAGTAGGAAGACTTTAGATGGTCTTATAAATCGGAAAATTTTTCAAAACCTCACATCACCTGTCCCTTCAGAAGACCATCCACCGATTTACCAGTCTATAAGTCCATCAACAGTCTTATGTCCTCCAACTATATCCATAGTACTATAATAAGAAGACTGTAAATGATCTTATAGATCGGTAAATCGGTAAAATTTTTCTCCTGGATCAGATGATGTGAGGTTTTGGAAAATTCGAGTCCTGGAAATTGCTCTATGTGCCAGTAGCGTCGAAAGTGGCCTAAGTCATACACGTTTCGCTTCGAAATATTAAGACTCTTGCATTTTAAATTTGTTATAAATTGAAAAATGTTACACATGTGTTGTGTATATATGCAAATAATAATTTATATCTTGTTACGTTTCTTTATCTCTCAACGAAAGTACATTTCGACTTGGTCACACGTGTAAACTACCTATTTTATTAGACACAAATTTTCGAATGTACGTGTGCGCATTCGTGGAAGGGTTAATTCATTTCCGATGTATCAAAATAAATCGAATTTTTCGAAGGTACTTGAGTTTAACTCGGCTCAGTTCGTTTTGCCGAATGTTTGCACGTGTTTAGTAACTGGACTGGAACTCGTTGTGACTGCAACTAATAACAATTTATATTTGCAAAATCTACTGCAACTCGTTTTTGACTTTCCATACACAATCCAACGCTGCTTAACTCGCTTGAACTTAATTCGCGTCGACTTAACCCAATTCGCTAACAACGCGTGTTAGACTCCCAAAACCAGATCTTACAAGCTTCCAACATCTTTGACATAGAGTAAGAATTATTTTATCTCGAATTCTAAGCGATTCGATACATGTTATACATTCTAAGTATCCCACAGTATCTTTTCGTTTCTTCTACTTGCCTAACCTGACTCATCCTCTTCAGAAATATTCCACATTCATACCAGAACTGAAAATTAAAAACTGAGGTAAAAACTAGATAATTATACATTATCTGGCAATTATAAAAGGGTAGACTCTATATCAAAATGGAGGAAATTAACGCCATCTTTGTGGGATTAAATGAGGATGCTGAGAAATAAATGAATCTAGGAATAAATTTTCATGGTGTTAATATTTTATCTAACATTAAGATTCGATTTTTGATTTCAGGTGAAAGGAATTTCTCGACTTAGGCTAGGATGTCACATCACAGCGACGACAACATGCTGATAGCAACCTCGGACTCCTTTTGGGAGCCGGGTAACTACAAACGAACGACTAAGAGGATCGAGGACGGGCACAAGCTCTGCGACAGCTTAATAGCTCTGGTCCAGGAAAGGGCGGAGATCGAAAAGAGTTACGCGAAAGCGTTGAAAAATTGGTCGAAGAATTGGAACGACAAGATCGAGAAAGGACCAGAATATGGAACCACCGAGGCTGCGTGGAAAGGCGTCCTCGTGGAATCGGAGAGGCTGTGCGATCTTCACCTCAGGGTCAAAGAGAATCTTTGTAACGACATCATTCAGCAGGTGAAAACGTGGCAAAAAGAGACCTATCACAAGGTATGTGCATGCACATATGACGAATGCTCTCTGTCATATCGAGATGAAACTCAACCCACTTCTTTTTTTATTTTCCTTCAGAATTCGAGAATCTCGTTTTAATATCTGTCCTCCTTTCGTTGAAATTTAAAGAATAATTCGTCGTTTTCTCTTCCATGTTTTTTGAACTTTATTTAATGAAATTGAAAATACAGATGCAGGAAAGACAGAATGAAAAATAATAAATGAAGATAAGAAATAACGTTATTAGTATTAGCTTAGAATCGTCTGTTTTTAGATATTGCTTAGGTCTACCATTTAATTAATACTTTATATTTATTTATAATTTCGTTATGCAGATTTAAATACGGATATTTCATGCGAACTTTAGTACAGTCTTTTACTATAGTACAGTCTTTTATAAGACTCGTATTTTGTAATAATCGTCTACAGCCGTTCCTTCGCTTTCCCTCGTTCTTATTCCTAACGAGCAACTATAATTACACCTTTCTTATCTTCTTATAAGAATTACTCTACTTGTCCTTAAACGAAGATAAAATTACAAGCAGTCCTTAAACTTTCAAGACGAATCTCCCTACCTCGTATCTTCTTTAATAGTAATTCGTGCAAATAAGAAATTAAACAGTTTCGAAATTTAAAATTATAATTGCTCGCGGGAAATCGATATTTTCTTTCATTCCAAAAAATTCGTTAATCAAAAATTCATTTAACATCCCCTCAACACTATTTTATCCCTTAAAATACAATCTTAAAATATCGCGTCCTCCATGTCTCTCTCCCTCTCATAACAAACTCCATTTTCTCGAAAACGAAGCTTCGTACGAAAAATCATTATTCTACATCTTCGACTCAATTTTACACGAGGAATTTCCTCCGATTTCGCGAACACCCTGTATAGTGTATAGACCTAACCAGACGTACACAACTAATAGGAAAATACGTACCTAGTACTCACGCCACGCTTCAACCGATCACAACACACCCAAACATACAAAAACACTTATAAGCACACATGGACCAAGTGGATTCTCACGCAACTTCGACGATCAACCCTCATCAGATCTGGATCACTTAACCCTTTGGCCTATAATCACGTGTGAGGCTCGTGGTCAGGTTTTCGACCCAAAACTGATTATCACGAGCCTGGCCCGTGGTACGTCAGCCGGGCCAGATGTAAACACCACGTGTCATGCCCGTGGTTTGTTGATGTGCCCCGCGTAAATCCTGTGCAATTGATAGAACTTAAGACAGATGTACCGATCCGTGGTATGGCTCAAGAGCTCGGCAGTTTTGTTTACGTTTTGGGACCACGCCGTTGAATCTTAAATCGTAGGGCAAGGGGTTAAGTTTGATTAAATCATCCTCAAAACGCGCGTAGCTCCAAGTTTCAATATCTAGTTTCAATATTCGGGACGTAATACCACTTCGTTCCTTCTATCCATTCCATTTTGTACCAATGAAAACACGGTCTCACATCCTCCGTGTCCCCTGCCGATTATAGATGTTTCATCGTATCTGTAAATACTCGTAAGCATAAGCACTTTGCTCGCGTAGGTGTACATGATTATTATGTTGCATTCTTGGACGCGATTCCGACATTGCAGTCAATGATGACGCTGAAGGAACGGAAGGAGATGGAGGACGTGTTCAAGAAGGCACAGAAGCCGTGGGCGAAGCTTCTGCAGAAGGTCGAAAAAGCGAAGTCTGAGTACCATAACAGCTGCAAAACCGAACGAACCGCGGCAAACATGGAAAGGAACGCATCGGCTGACAGTTCGCTTTCCCCTGACCAGGTAAAACGATAGTCGTCCTCCTATGTCGATTACAGTAACGAACAGTTACGTCATTCTCGCTCATACGTTATCGACGATTAGCGCAATTGTTACATTACGTATCTGAATCGCGGTGATTGTCGTGCTCGCTTTCAAAAGGTATCTTCCGAGCAGTTCTTGCCTCAAACGTTGCTTAACCGGATTATTCGAACGTTTCAACTACTAACGCTGTCCGAAATGGTTCGAGGATTACTTGTTACTCTCTTCTACGGGAATATCGTTCGTTTAACTTCGTTCTTTCGTTTGGAGCTCGTTGGATTACTCGCGAATCGTTCATTGCATGAAACATATGTGAAAATTGGAAATTATTCGTGAAGAATCTTGGTAATTGATTTGTTTTCCCATATTTTACATTAGAATGTAGTATACCGTGGTAATTGTTATTTATTCAAGACCGTTTCCAATAATAGAGTTGATATTTCATTCGGAGAATCTACTGGTAGATTCATGTTCCTGTAAAGAGGCTAATGAGCGATTCTTTTCTTTTATTGACTGATTTTTGTTTCATGTACTGTACGAATTGGAAAGTAATTTTATTGGCACCTGTTGTACGAGGAGCACATACAAAAATATCGGCAAATTTTTATAAAAATGATCGGAGATATTCGATGATGGTATCGAATTTTTTAAAGAATATTCATTAAATTTTAACAAAAACGAAAAACGAAGAAGGCAATTTGTAAATAAATTTAATAACACTCGACTAATCATCATATTCAATTTGCGAAAAAATATGGTATTACATCAAAACCGCGAATATAATAATAAAATATGAATTAAAATTGAATTCTGTGGTATTTAATCGTTATTTAATTTAATATTTAATGTAATAATTTAATAATTATTTTTATAAAAAAAATATAGAAATATTTATCTTTCTTTTCTTGAGCATTTGAAATCAACAATAAAGAAAAAAAGTTACACAATTATTAAACCAACGAGTAAACGTGTTTATAATTTCGACGAAATTTCAAAATCGAACAAACGCGTTTCCTTTAATTTCTTATTAGAGAAAATTATTATATAAGGTATCGGAAAATTGGCGTAAACATTCTTTTCCCTGAAATTAAACAAAGGGAAAGTTCTTTTCGTTAGTATATGTAGAGTACAGTCTCCATATAAATTGGCGTTGAACAATCTATCGGACGATCTGCATCTTAAAATCAAGGAAAAGTTTCCGCAATTCAAATTTTTTTACGCCGTGCTTAATCTTCCTAGATATCTAAAATTTATTGGACAATGAATGATAATCAAAACTGAAATTGAATTGATTCTAACAATTGAGACTCAATTGTGTTACTGCCAACATCTGACATCATCAGAATGATCCAATCTAGATGCAGTAGATTCATACCTATGATATGATAAATCACTTTATATCGTTTTATACATATAATCTAAACTGATAAAAAAATAGTAGCATAATTTGATAAATAGTGTTTTTCCAATAGAATATTGTAGTCGCGTTAATTAAAGAGTGAAACTTACTTTTCCATAAATATTAGAAGGATATATATAATTTCTTTAGTTTATCTATTACAATTTCTATAAAAATTCTTCTACTGAAAATTATTAAAATTATCGATAAAATTCGTGTATTAAAATTAATTAAAATTTTCGGCAAAATTCGTACATAAAAATTAATTAGAATCTCCATCGATCGTTAATATCGAAAGTATGTTAAACAGCTGCGCCAGTATAGCAATGTGTGAAATTAAACATTTCGCGGAGATATAATACGATCCTCCAGCCATTTCAAGCGTCATAATGTTCGAGCATGAAAAAAGAATTTGCAAATTTAATTGCATAGTGCGCGATAAATTTCCGCAATATCGGGAAATCCTTTTCGAAGCGACAGATTCATGACAAAACATGCGAACACACGCGTACGTAATACCACGTGTACATGTGTGTAATACTAACATTAGTATGCATCTCGATCACGCATTCGCGGCTCAACATAAAAGTAGATACTGTTGTTCTTTAGCAAGTATTATTTTCAGATGGCCCGAGGCTCTGAAAACGTATGTGAAAAAGAAAGAATAATCTCGTGTTAATCTTTATCGAAAATCTGCATGTCGTGTTGTCCTGTGCCCTCGACATTTATCGATATCTTCTTCCACTGTCACGAAAAAACGCTTCCAGAATTTTCCTCGATGTACGAGTGACTCTTTTCTCTTGCACGTTTCGGTTGTGAATTACAGAAAAATCCTTTGTTACATCTTTTACTCGCATTAGTAGATAATTACAGAGTTTAGCTATTAAGATATTTACTAGAAACACCGTGAAAATCGAAGTATCTTTGTACCAAGTAGAACACGATATGGACATTGCGCCTTTTTCAACGTATAGATATGCATCTCTTTAGTGCACAGAATGACTATGTTTTTCTTCCTTTTTTTCTCTTTTTTTACATTTTTTTCATTCTAGCGTTTTGATTATTTCTTATTTTTTGAAAGACTTCGAAGCCTGTTTTAAAATATTGTTCTTATCGAGATAAAATAACGAGATACGATATTATTGTACGTCTGGATGTTCGAGGGACGATTAATCGCCAAAACGAGAGGCAATTTTCTGAAAAAAGGCTAACGACGTTTTTAGATGACAGTTTGTGGATGTGATGCATGGGGCCTCAGAATACGAAAAGCCTTTAGGAAATCTAAAATAGGAGACGTTCAGCTTGTATGTATAATAATACTGCATGCGGCATGTATGTCAATTAACATTCTCTCATTTTTCATTACAGAAAGCTCTGCTGGTAAGCAAACTCTCTGTCTCAAGCTTTCTCTTAGTCGATATTTCTATGGAGCAAACATCGAGCTTTTAAGTCAGGATCGCTTCGAAAATTCAGACATAATTCTTAGTAGAATTTAAAATAAAAATGTCAGAAATTTTTCCTTTCTATTATAATAGTAATATTATAATTCGTAAAATATTACTGCACTTTTTTAAATGTAATATAATATAAAATATCTGTTATTATAAGTAATATTTATTAATATTTTTCAATAATAGAAATATTATTTCGATTGATGGGAAAAAGGAACTTTTATTTTAAATTTATCATTTTTGGAAAAACGCACATTTTTTTAGAAACTGAGGATGCTAGAGCATTTTAGATTACGCATTCGTGTTTGGGAAAGTAAACTCTAAAAGATTTACCGAATGATTATTACAGATTGAAGAACAGGTTAAAATTTATTAGACAGTGTTAGCTAAAGCTGTGTTCCCCTATAAAATTTATTTAATCAGAGACACGAGAAATTTCTAATTAAATCTTGTAACTTACCTTCGTGCTTCAGCTACATAAATACGAAATAGTTGCATGATACCGAATCGAAAAGTAGAATTATTAAACATGCCGAAATAGAAACTTTGCCACTTATCTCTAATAGGATCAAATATTATATGGTACCGTATAGCAGTGTATAATTTTTAGTTTATCATGCTCGATGATTGCTCGTTTTCTCTGCTTGGAAGTAAATTGCAGTCTCTTGATACGTTTCAATATAGAATTTGCTCTCTACATCTCTCTGTGTTTTTGAATTCTTCTTACAATTCAGTACGCTCTGTTTGCTTGGCCAGTTACCTTCTTTAACTGTAGATTTGCTATTACAAGAAACTCCGATTCAATCTGCCACATTTCCTTCTCCCCGAAACCAAATTGCAATTTAGTTTAACTTCAAACTATTCATTTTTAACTATCTATGTAACATGGAATTCTAATTTCTAATTGAATGTTCCTTCTTAAATCTCACTC